CGAGCGTGTCGACAATCGCGAGTCGAGAGTCGAGAATCGAGAGTCGAGAGTCGGGAATCGAGAGTCAAGGGTTAGTCCGCAGAATCATGAAAGTTGCTACTTCCATGTACACATGCATCTGTACATACCGTATACGTACATATGCATGTAACTAGGATTCGTGTTGCATCACAGACAAGACCCCCTACTATCAGGACGGAAGCGACGCTACTTATGAATGAGAGTACTCGCCCATTGGTCGTCGCCGATAGCCAATGGCTGGCTTTACACGCGGCCCTCTGCGCGAGTCCGTGACTCGGTGCAACTCCTGTCACCGCACCCTGTAAATCCTCAATCGGATTAACAGGATTCGTGACTACCGATTAACGTAACGAACGATTCCATTGATCCTCATCTAATAACGTTTTACGCTTTATACCTGAAATCACGTAAGACAACAAAAGAAAGAACGATCGCTCGCAACACGAGCTTCTACGTGTATCCTAATAGAACGAATAATACACGTAAACATTCGTGAGTGAAAATCTACTTTCTCACTTTCGTGAAAAGTAAATATCTCGAACGATAATAAATTTATCATTTTTTATATTACGTTATGTTTTATATTTTATATTATATTATGTATTTATATATTGCGATTTTATTTGCAAATATATCTTTTTCGTTTTTCTTTGCAATTGTATCTAGACCGTTTAATACATAATCTAAAGCATAATACGTTATCCATCGTACAATAATACGCATATTCAGTTTCTACAAATTTCTTTCTTGCTTAGTAATGTAAATACCTAAGTAAATAAATATACGTAAAGAATATAATGAGAATTTTTTAATTTGTTTCCTTACTATTTATCCGATAATGTTATCCATACATTATCGCTAGAGCACGCAGCTTGCTGTAGTTTGTATATTTAACAATTAAAAAAGATAGATATTATATTAACATAAATTTGTCATATCAAAAGTTGCTCTCGCATAAATTCCTTCCATCTTATTACACGTTACCCTTACTACTGTACATGTTGGGTTTACATTCATATCGTTTTTGTATATCTTGCCTATTTATATATATATAACTTATTGTCTCGACATATAAAACTTATCTAAAAAATTCTCGTCTGCAAGCGTGGGGAATTTATTAAATATGCGCGTTTTTTTTTTTTTGCCAAGTAATATTTGTGTTGTACAATATTCTTTTCGAAAAATTTGTGAAGATTATTATTTTTACACTGAGCGAATGATATTTAAAAAGTAAGCATTTCTAATTTCTTCGTGTTTAATGATCACTTTCTGGCACAAAAAACTTTCACCAATATTCATCGTAACAATACAATAACAAATACAAATACAATTGAAACACAAAACATGTACAATTGAACGTTCGCTGTTCGTTCTTTCTTTGAGTTCTTTATTTTCATGAAAAAAAAAGAGAAATGAAATTTGATAATAGGACGGAAAGCCGTAAGTGAACGACAAATAATATATAAGGAATAATATCTCCAAGTCGTAAAATTACGACTATAAATATATATATAATTTTTATTTTGGCCATATATTTAAGCGTGTAACTTTTCTTTTTGAGCTAAAATCAATTATTATAAGTATCCAACATGAAATATGAACATATTCGACTTGAAATACATTAATATATATTAACTTTCTGATCATATATTAACATTCAAACTAAGGTAATACATAAAAGAAGTATTCGCAGTGAAAAATGCTGTCATATTTGATTAGACATTGTCGATGCCAAAAAGTAGACAAAGAATATCAAACTAGTGCATGTTAAATATAAAAAAATATAATAACAACGATAAGATAAAAATATAAGAAAATCGTCACGAAAGCGTAAATAAAATTGCACTCCTCAAGAATCAAGTTAAGTTCATATTTTATATCAATAGATATAATATAGATATACTTCTTATACAGTATGGCATATCTAAAGTATACTTTCATAACACATCGTGATTTAAACAAATTAAAAGTATTATCAGCATTTCAGATTTGCAATGCCATATTTGTTTCTCGCTGTGTGTAATCGCTTTATATTTTCTCACATATGATGTTTACCTGATGTTTATCTTGATTCCATACATCACTTTACATATCCACAAAAAAGAAAATATCTATGACACAAAGAAACATTAGCATTTTAAAATTTTCAACATTCGTTTATTGCTATTTTTATTACTATTGAATTTTGTTGTTGTGCGATAATAATTATATACAGTTGTATCGCATATGAATTCAAAAATACACCTCTTGACTTCAATTCCACGTATCTTTCTCAAATTCTGTTTCAGTTGATTCTTTTGGAAGCTTTCTCTGTTGTCTTTTAAATGACTCTCTCTTTTCAGCATTTGTCAAAGAATAATTATGATCCAAATCTGTACGTAACCTAACCAAAATTTAAGAGCTATTAAAAAACGAAAATTTATTTTTCTCAATAATTGTTCAAATATTAATTTATACTTCTGTATATTATTCTTCATTTGTTGCTCTCTGTGCTGTATCCACAAATCATCATATGTCACGCGGGCCTTTTCTTGCGGCTTATTTTTTAATTCTTCTTGTAAATTGTCACTCGTATCATTGAATTCATTCACTTGAAATATAATGCATAAACTTAACCATCAAAAGATTATCAATTACATCATTAACAAACTTACAATTACTCTCAAATCCAGTATCAAAGCTATCCCACATTGGTTTCTCCTCCTCCAAATTATCAGCAGGAGATGCAAAATATTTACTCTGCTGTTCTTGCTGATCAAAATCACCAAACTGACGTAACTGTTTCCTAAATATGTTTCAATTTAATTTTATTAATTAATTATTAAAGATCAATATTATACGATTATACATAGACAATGAATAATACGTACTTTTCAATACTCAACGCTTTTCGATAACACATTGGACCACAAAATGCTCTTCCAATCGCAGACATTATCGTACCTGCAAGAATTGCTGAACATTTTTTCATGACTCCTGATGGTATAGGAACCATAAAATACCATGCTATTCCAGACATAAGTCCAAAAGGAAATCCACAGCGATAAACAGCATCATTTTTCATACATAGTTGAAAATTTCTTATTGTCTCTGGTGAGGCATTAGGCAACTACAATTTATAGATAAATCATTCTGAGCATTTCTTTTAATACGAATTTTTTTGATATATAAATGTTATTCTTAAATGATGTATAAAAGTTATTATTAATTAAAAGTATAATATAATGATCAATAGACTTTCAAAAATGATTACTTACCAATTGTTGTAACATTTTCATCTCTTCCTCCTCGTAAGACATTGTAAATTATACTGAACAACGAATTATTAAGATATACTTTCCCTATAACCTAAATGCAAAGTCCAAAAAAGATATGCGTTACGCTAAATTCGTAGAAAATATAGAAAAATTTTCATACATTATTTTTACTTAAAACTTCTTCAACAATGATTTAATGTAATGAAATAACAATAAGCCATTTTCGAACATTACGCATCATCTTTTGTATGTACTTCTTGTTTTAATTGCAAGGCTAATATTTTTTCCGGTAAATTAAATACAATATGCTTTCACCATTTTAGTACATCTCAAACAGCGGGCAAATTTAAATGATGCTCCTTCAAATTTACTAAACATATACAACAATGTGATATTTTTACAAAAATTGTATAGAAATAGATTTAAATTACAATAATAATTATCTGATTTCTATTGTAAGAAGATTTATAGATTTCTTTTATCTATTGTAAATCAATGGATTGGTCCAACAAATTCAAACACAACACTTAATAAAATTGTACATAATCGTTTAGTTATCTCACAAAAACTTATGTTTCTTTTTATAATGTATTTTCATTATTTCTATTTCAAAAGTACTTGCGTTACTTGTTAAAAAATTTAAACACATTCAAAATAAATGCAATACGAAATATATCGATTTCTTCACCGCTATATACATTTTATGTATATATATACCTACAGGAAATCAAATGTCAAGAGTATAAGAAAAGCAAACGACAAGTCAAAGAACGATGTTCTCGTTTAATAAAAAAAAAATCAAATGCTTTTTTTTATAGCTTCATATTCATTTTGAAATATCCCCTAAATTTTGTGAGAAGTGTATAATATGTATGTACAAATAATATTTTGTTGTATAAACTATAAAGAACTATAAAGATATGTAATGTTAAAAAATATTATATATTATTTATGTAAATAATTATTAAATTTGTATTTTTGTTATGCTTTGATATTTTTTAAAAGCAAAATTTGGTATATCTTTCAAATTCTGAATAATGTTGATTATACTGAGTAACTATATGTTTATTATCATTCATATTCTAATATAAAAATATATTTATTAGTTTGAGTATTAGCAATTAGATCCATAATAAAATAAATATTGAAAATTCCACTGTAATTCTGTACTTAATTGCTTTTAGGCTTAGTTCTTTGATAATTTAAATATGTATCTACAATATGCATCGCATAAAGCACTTTATTTGCATTCAAGTGTTAATTTAATAAGCATGGAAACTTATATCACATTGCAACTTGCTGAAAAAAATATTTCACACACACTTAGTTCTATTTATATGTACTAATATTTGTCTAATATATTTATAAATGAAAAATAATTTTTTTCAATATGACATGAAGAGGATAATAATTAAATTAATGAAATAAGTAATTATATAAATAAATAATTGAATAATGAGTAACATATTTACATAAAAAATTTGTATACTTAAAGATAAAATAATTAAAATTATCATAACTGATAGTTTATGTATGAGTTATTCTTATAATCTATACTATAAAGTAGATTATAAGTAGATTATTTCTCAATATACAAACACTAAATATTTCTTATATTCCACGAACATCTTATACATATATGATTCAAGTACACCATTCGGAAGGAGTTTTGTCTCATAAATTTTCCACTCCTATTTATGAACAAGATGAAAATATATATAATGACATACAGTCATAAGTTGAGAAGAGGGAGTAGTGCTAACTAGGCTTTGACATCCACTATAAAAGTTCTTGCTCCAAGTACGAAGTTACTGTCGAAAATGTTGTGTAACAGTGAAACTGATCGAGACTCTAAAACTTTTCAAATATTATATTTAACATTGTTCTTATTTTGTACATTTATACAATTAAGTATAACATCATCTGTGTCTGATACGAATTATAATACAACGTTAACAAACAATACATCAAATAATTCAACTGGTGATGATTTGTAAGAATATTTTATAATCTCTACAAACATTTATTTCATTTATATAGTATTTGTACTTTTTGTTCCTTTATTTTTATATTATAGATACGTTATAAAAGCAATGGTATATGAAATTGGTATATTAACAGATGCAGATAATGCAACTAACGATACTACTGAGAGGTAATATCACAATATAATGATTAATATCAGTTACTTTTGATCTTAAAAGACATATAACATCTCAAACTTGAGACCAAATTGTCTTAATGTATTAATTTTAATTTTAAATTAGATGCATGTGAAATATATTTTATTAATTTTATTATATTTATTAAATATATTTTATTAATTTTCTTCACAGACAAGAAGTCAAACTCTCATTTTACAATTCTCCTACTGAGGACAATGGATCATAGAAAGATGTTATCTATTACTGGTAGAGTTATCTATTGTTCTACATCATTTGATTAATTTCATACATTTCAAAGTTGTACGATTAATACCGCGTCAAAATTTCAATAAAATTTGCACAAAAGAATGTAATTGTTCGCCGTAGGAAATTTTATTTTTTTAATTAAAATCTTGATATCTGTAATGATGTGCAACAGAAATAAATACTTTTAAATAAATTCCATTCTACAGCATACTATCAGTGTAATTAATTTCACATACCCATGCATACATTTCCTTCCGCAACCGGTGTCAGTTAATTTAAGTGTGTGCGAATGTAGTGATAATTTTAAGAAAAACTTGGTTGCGGATTATAACTTGAAAGAAGAATTTGGTTGAGATTGCCAGAGTTTAATAAGTAAAAAAAGGACTACCATATAACTGTAAGCGGGAAAAAAGAAAACCAGTGCATGCTAGCGAACAATAAAGAACCATTTGTCCGTTAGATGTCTCTGCATTTGCATACCTGAGCCACCGACGAAATACACGAATAGACCAAGCATCTTACGGGATTTTATGGCCCGTAACCTGAAATACCAACATAGTAAAAAATCACTGGTTCTTTAGCGCACTCTACGTTTAAACAACGGCGAGTTGGGGAACTAGTGAATGCGCCGGCAATGATTTTTGAGACCCATTACAGTGTTGTCAACTTTCAATACCGAAATATAAAGCTCGTCTGTAACTATACCAAATAAAACGATACAAGCAAAATGTTTAATTGTATCTCCAGATTCCAAAACACGAGATTAGTATCCAAAATTATTCCATTATGTATTTATGTGTGTGCCAGAAAAAGCCCTATTCGTGTTTTACGAATTTATCGATTGGTTTTTCGTTGGAAACGATAAAATTATTACTTATAACGGGATGTTTT